TAACGATGTGAGCCCGGTCCTTTCGGTGAAGATATACCTTGTGCGTCTTGTGCGATTATGTGTGCCAGACCCGTGGGACTGCCAGTGATGCCGTATGTTCGGAGCAAAGAACGAGCCGACTGTCGGTCCTGGCATTGTTTTCGCGGTGTGATACCGGTTGTCCTGACCATAACTAACATTTCAGCTAAATATCTTGGCATGCTTCGGTGTCTCCTCAAGCCATCTCTTGATTCATGGTAAAGGGATCGAAACGACGCTTAATAACAAGGGGCATGACATGGACAAAGCCAATCACTTCAGGAGGGTTCCGCAGAGAGCAGAAACACATCGAAACCTACATATATATGACTACCCACACAAGAGGGTTAGGCAATCCGACTCTCGACTTTAATCCGCAGAGAAGTCGAGATCCATGCGACAGGAGATCTAGTACAATGACGGCTCCACCAACCCTTAGAAGAAAGCAATGTAAGAGAAAATCTTACTCAGAGTTGATCCGCACAGCACTTCTTCGTAACGGAAACAAACCCATGAGTCTCAATGAACTTTACGACTGGTTCGAATCTCACATGGACGATGGCGTGCCCTGGGTCAAGAGCAGCATCCGCCACACTCTCTGTGTGCACCAGGTCAGTGCTTCCGCTTGCGGTCATCATTTTACACAGCAGTGAATGGTGCTAGAATGTTTGGTTCCAAGATGTTCGATCTTGCTTTTCAACATGAGCAAAATTCGCACAATCCACCAGATACATCTGCTAAATCATGCAGGCATTCATCAAGAGTCAAAGCGGCCGGTCGAATTGGCGTCCGTCGTCGAATCTGCAACATAACGTTAAATCGATGAGTCCGCCTCATAAGTCCGTCACACCATCTTACCACACCGAATTCTCTTCGAAACCAGGGCGGCACGAGACCACCTTCGACGATCATTGGCTTGGAGTCCCTCTCGAAAGCATACCCGAGCTAGATGGAACTTTAGCGTTTGCGTCGCATACCTCTATGGCCACTGCAGACGAGCTTTCATTCGTGGACAACCCGGATACTGACTTTCAACTGCCCCCCTCAGTGGTGAGTCGCCGCCCCATCTACATCGTATTATGATTATCGTGCCAACGACTAACACCACACCAGGTCTGCTTCTCATGCCTGCTGAGTACCGATTCGCAATGTGACGGCCAGAGCCCTTCTTGCAATCAATGCTTGCGGCTTGGCTTGACGTGCGAGGAACGACGACCAAGTTTTAGCGGCAGACAAAATGTTCCTCAGGGTTCCTCCTAACGTAACAATCTCGGGGGTACCTCGTCGAATGACCGTTGATATCGAACGAAAATTCTCAAATAGACAGATGTTACTATTAGGAAGCGTCGAAAGAGAACAATAGCCGATTATACCCTGTTTTGCTGCTTGTTTCTGGTCAGTGTTAGGACAGCGTGATGAAGAACAAACGGTAGCTTTGATGTAAAGGAATCCACTAAAGGCAGGGCACGCGTGATCAAACCAACCAGTCGAACACTTGTACTGGCTATTGGTGGATGTCAGTAACGGTGGGCGTTGTTTTGTTTAACGAGTGGGGTATAAGAGTGGGCCTGACTTTTCGGGTGTGGTGTGCTGCGGCGCCACAACAAGCTGCACCAGTTACAGGCCACTCCCGAAACCTTAGCACGAAACACCGCAATATAACCTATAAGCACTATTTGTCTGGGATTGCTTCTCTCTACGTTATTCTACCTGTGGCAGACCGACTGTGGAAAGATGGCGTTCCAAACCAGGTTATGCTATTATTCTCTAGCGTGATAACGGTGAATGGCAGACCCAAAAGATGCCGATCGATCCCGCAGCCATTTCCGGTCCGAACCCATCCCTTGTTGTCGGCGAGACCTGGAAGTGGCTGCAGGGGTTGCGAAAGCCGTGCTGAAGTCCAGTCTTTTAACGTCCCGTTATGAGCTCTAGTAGACAGACATATTCTGTAATGCCTGAGAATTTTGCTTCGTCGTCCTTATCTCCGGTTTAATTCTCCCATTGACTCGTTGCGAATCAACTGCGACAAACCACCGTGTTCGCCGCCGCCAAACGCGATGGCGTCTTGTGCTTACCCAGCCCTACCTCGAGACCGAAGTGCGGCCTCCACCTGGCTGGAGCGGATCTGCAAGTACGTCTGAGCGGTGACTTTGGCACCAGCGTCGAGGAGCAAGTGCACAGCCGCGAGGCTGTCATTGCGTACAGCAAAGTAAACGGGCGGCTCGCCCCACTCTCCAGGTATGTTCGGATCCGCCCCGTTCTCCAACAACAGTCTGGCGCACGCGAGGTTGTTATACAGAATTGCGACACCCAGGGGCGTATGCCAGAATATCTGTTGTTGGCCTTCCCCGTTGATCCACCCGCTGTTCTGAGCGTTGATCAGAGACATGCACGCGCCTCTGACGCCTTCTCCGTGGCCATCGTCACCACGCCCAAGAAAGAGCTTGAGGAATGGGTACCCTTCAGTCTCGTTGTCTAGGTCGGGCGGGCCAAGATCGCCACACACGGTGTGTAGAACTGTGTCTCCAATCCTGTCGCGCAAGCTGAGATCCACTCCTCGGGTGAGTAGGTCGCAGACTACGTCCATCTTCCGTACGCGTCCGGGCTGCTGGTAGGCGGTATTGTCCTGGTAAAAGTCACGAGCTGGCGTTCTGAGCACTGCATGGAAGATGTAGTCACGGTACGCATTGGCAACTCTGCCTGCGAAGTTGTGGGCGGGGTTGTAAGCTAGCGTGCCGATCATCTGCGTGCCGTGGAGACAAGCGTCGTAGAGGACCTCGGAATTGGCGGCAGACAGTGAAACACCAGCATGACAGAGAACTTCGACTTGCTCCAGGCGGTGGCTTCTGACGGCTTCAATCAAGTCGTCCTCGGCTGACGAGTGGATCGTCGCTTGGCCGGAGGACCACGAGTCGGTGGGAGAGCCGACCAAGGTACTGTCTGATGTTGAGCTTGCCGGCGTCAATGGGTTTTCCCGCTGCTCTTCTTCCGCCCCAGGGCTACTCGGACTGACGTCTGCCGTGTCCGTGTGGACGCCGGAGTCATCGGGGCGGAGAGCTTCGGACGGTGAATGGCCAGCTGAAGACGACCTAAGCCATGCACGGACGGCCAGTAAGCTCGTCGCCGGGTCTGCCGACCCCACGTCGGGACCATGCCCAAGTTCGTCCACCAGTGTTGACGCGACACTGTATCTGGGAGACCATGGAGATGGTGGGGACTCATCGCCAACGAGCGTTTCGCCCGAATAGGAGCTCGTAGGTGTCAAAGGCTGTGTTCGAGCGTTCATGCTAGAGTAGAAGTCTAGTTGTGTTTAGGTAGGTCAAGTAAAGACTATGTCCCTATCGCAGGCGACTGGACTGTTTAGGTTATATCGAGCGCTTCAGAGGACGCAAACGCAAGCTCTTTGCTTTGAAGTGTCGACCGTCTTGTATTGACGCCATACGAGGTAGTCTACATGGGGACCCATTTTCACTCGTGATGCGCCGCACATCACTCTTCCGATGTCCTAAAGAATGCCGTAAGACGGTTATTAATACCCTCTTGTGAGACATCATGTAATACTCGATGTGGTCGGTGTCTGGCGCCTGACGTCTCGATTGTGAACGAAAAAGACAGAATGGAAAAACAAGCCTGCCAAGCAGGCTGATGACAAGGCGGCCAGTCACATGATTACTCGATTGTGTAAATCTTCTGCGCTAAGCTTCCTTGAGAACTCAAAGCGCAGTCTATGCACCTGCTTCAATGAGCTCTGTATTCCTTTGCATTTTGCTGTTGCTGAGTACCTTACCTGATCTCCAGACGAAACGCTCGGACGTGGTCGGGTGGTCAAGGTGGGGCGTGTGTCAAAGTGGGCAGCGAAGTCCATTGAATCCTGTCTCGTCATCAGACAACGAACAAGAGTAAAGGCTAACATAACCAACAAACATGCAAAATCACTCAAGACGTTTATGTTTATTATTCCATTGCGATAAGGCAAATGGCGGAGAAGACGCGTCAGA